AATTATTTGGTTTTTTTTTTAATGTTTCATTTGACCTTTTTTTTTCTTTTGACGGGAAGCAAGAGCATTTTATTAATTAAACAAGAACGCTTAAATCAGCCAAAACCAAAGCAGAAACATCATTTGGAAATTCCTCAAGCCAAACTCTAAGATCACTAAACCGATTACATAACTTGGCAAGCCCATGGGCAACATCATTGCCACTTCTCTTCACAAAGGAGTAAGATACATCCTGACAAAGTAGAGTGAGTTGCAAAATGTCCTTAACCACCATCCCAAAATCCGTCGGATGCACTTCCCCCTTCACCTAATGATTATGGAGCTTCAAGCAATCGGTTTCTAAACACACCTTCCGAAAGCCCGCTTCAATTGTAATGTTCAAAGCATGGCGCATAGCAAGGGCCTCCGCAACATCAGCGTCGAAACACCCTTCTATTCGCAAACACGTAGAGGCCACCACATCCCCGATTTCATCTCTCATCACACCCCCAACCCCACACCACTAGGCGAGAAAACAACAGCATCTGAATTGACTTTTATTATACCCCTCAAAGGAGGCTTCCACCTAGCTTCATAAATAGGAGAGGGAGGGCTTAAGTTACCAACCTCTTTCGCCAACACAAATTCCCCCACCAAACCAACTGCTTTGCAAATAACATCATTCAAAACAATTCGCTTTCTATCAAAAACCCACCTATTACGGCGCACCCACACAATACACCAAAATATACACCACCAATTTGCATCCTTATGCAACTCACGCACAGCAGCACACCACTCTCTGAAGCTCTCCCCTGCATATCTCCCCACATCCAAACGCAAAGGAGAAGTATACCATATCATCTTCACATCCCCACAATTTACCAACATATATAGAGTTGATTCACTCCCCTCCCTACACATCGGGTGATATGTCTATTTTATATAGTATTTTACCCCCGTCCATTGGTCATAATTAGTAGTGTTTTTGGCTCTTTAGAGCCACTTTTATTACTAATTGGTGTTTTCTAGTGTTTTCGTAGATTTGGTTGACTTTTGTAGGGATTAGCACTTTTGGAGCATTTTCTCGAGATATTATGGAGCAATTACGAGCATTGGAGAAGCACGACCAGTTTCTATAGCTCAAGGCCAGTTAGAGCCATCGAACCGGTGATTAAGGGCTCGGTATAGGTGATACCGGGGCATTTGGACCAAGTATTCAAGACTCGAAGAGGAAATCCAGATTGGCCAGAAGAATTGAAGTCCAATCAAAGTCCAAATAATGGCCCAAGAGTGCCGCCCGGCCAAAGAGGCTGGCGCCCGGAGGCGCGCCCGGCCGGGCTAGGGAAGCAAGGCTGGGGCCCGGACTCGCGCCCGGTCGGGCGCGAGAAGTGTATCTGAAGAAAAAAGGCGCGCCGGATCGAGCGGTGCCTCCCCCGATCGGGCGCGTGTTATTATTAGGGGTTGATTATCGACGTTTGAGTTTGTTTTAGTTTAGGATTCTCGCTTAGTATAAATACTTTTCCGTTAAGCGAGTTTAGAATCATCTTTTACTCTTTCTAAATTCTTTCTTAGATTTTCTCTCTCTACTTAGCTTTTAGATTAATTTCTATCTCTTATACTTTATTATTAACTCTATTCTTAATTCCAGATTTCTTTGGTAACTATTTCTCTTCTCTTAGGCTATGTTTGGATAACAAAAAATGGAAGGAAAGGAAGGGAAGGGAAAGGGAAGGAGACAAACTTCCTTGTTTGGATAATATGTTGGGGGAGGGAAGGGGAGGGGGAGGGAGGGATCCATTTTCCCTCCTCCTTTAATAAAGACCACCCCTTCAAAATTGAAGAGATTTGGAGGGAAAATGGAGCTCATCATTTCCTCCACTTTCCCTTCCTTCCCCTTCCTCCTATTTCCCTCCCTTCCATTTCCCTTCTAATTTGTTATCCAAACATAGCATTAATCTTAGTTATTTATTTTATTCCTTTGATTATGTCTTGTTTTATTACTTTGATTTGTTTAGGTTTAATTATGTGTGAGTAGTTTTATTTCTAGGGTTTATGGGGATCCATAAATAATATGAAGGGGTAATTTATTGTTGTTAATTGTCAATGCTAGATTAATTTCCTATTGATTGATTTAATGCTCTGTGACTAGATTTGCGCAGATCTTTTATGCATGAGTTTGACAATATTGATTCGAGATTCGAAAGATGAGAATTAATGTTTAGGTTTAGTTTCAATAGGGAGGTTAATTTATAAATGGTTAAGTCGAGATTTGAGAGATGAGATTTAATACCGGTAAATTAATTGTGTGATTTTAATACGTAGCGAAAGCCCTTTATAATCTGATTAATTTATGCATTGATGATTGATTATTATGTTTTACCCTGGAATATTATTTATTGGTGAACCTATGCCCTAGACCTTTTATTCATTGTTTTCTCCTTATTCTTAATCTTTGTAGTTTAGTTTTATATCTAAATTTACATATTAGTTACTTGATAATTTAGATTATATTAACTAATTAGGAATAGAAAGACTTGTTTCCCTGTGCATTCGACCCTACTTCCCTATCTACATTAGTTAGAGGATTTAGGAATTACTTTTGATTAGGTGATACGACCTTAGCCTGTCATCGGGCAGACTTGGTCAACTTACATACCTCTGCGAGCTAAATTAGCACGAGCAGCTAAGCAAACAACTTGATTTTCCGAGGAATTTCAGCACTCCATATAACCTTCCAATCAAATTTCCTTCCACAATGAGAGGTGGTAGGCTCATTTCTCATTTGATCATCAGTAATTAAATTGTAAGCACTTCTTACCGAGTAACTGCCATCCTTCGTATAATGCCAAGTCCAAGAATCCCTACAGTCATAAAGGGGGATAGGAATAATTAGGATTTTACACACTTCATTATGAGAAAAGTTGGTGTTAAGGGCTGCAATATCCCAACTCCTATCATGCCAAAGCTGACGCACATAACTCAAATTCTACTCATTCTCATCTTGCCTCGAAATAGGTTTAAAACCAGGGAGACCCGGGATCCAGGCATCTTTCCAAATATGGATTGATGATCCATCTCCAATATTCTTTCTTGCACCCCTCATAAGAACTTCACGAGCACCCAAAATAGACCTCCATGTATAGCTCGAATTAGGACTCACTTTTGCCTCCATCAAAGTCGAGTTAGGAAAATATTTTCCTTTAAGCACCTTAGACATAAGGGACTTCTCATTGGATATCACACGCCAAGCTTGCTTTGCAAGTAGAGCCTTATTAAAATTTCTCATATTTCGGAAACCAAGCCCACCTTGCTTTTTCGATGTGTACATTTTATCCCAAGAGACCCAACAAATTTTTTTCTCCTCTCCTTTTTGGCCCCAAAAAAACTGTCGACATAGCCTTTCAACTACATCTAAAATGCTAGCCGGGATTGAAAAACATTGCATAGCATAAGTCGGAATTGCTTGGGCAATTGATTTGATCAAAATTTCCTTTCCGGCTAGAGATAGATATTTTTCCTTCCACCCCTTTAGTTTCTTCCAAATCCGATCTTGAATATTCTGGAAAACCTGTTTCTTTGATCCACCAATGTAAGTTGGTAAACTAAGATATTTGTCATATCCTTCGACAACCTTAAATGATAACTTCATCTGAAGCATATTTTTCCGTTCTTGCTCAATGTTTCGGCTAAAAGACACCTCCGATTTATCCATATTTAATTTCTGACCCGAAGCCACCTCATAAGTAGAAAGAATCCCAAGCACATTCTCAACTTCCTCTTTCGTCGCTCTCACAAACAGCAAGCTATCATCTGCAAAAAATAAATGAGAAATAGGTTGAACATGTCCCCAATTTTAACCCCATGGATTAACTTTCTATTTTCCGCATCTCTAAGTAGAGCCGACAATCCCTCATCACACAACATAAATAAAAAAGGAGAAATCGGATCTCCTTGTCTGAGACCTCGACTAGACTTGAACTTTCTCGACGGTTGGCCATTAATCAGAACATCAAAGGAGGTCGTACTATCACACTTCATCACCAACCCCATAAAAGAATCCGGCATACCCAGTTTCAGCATCATCTTCTGTAAGAACTCCCATTCAACTCTATCATATGCCTTGCTCATATCAAGTTTGAGCCCAAGATAGCCTTTTTTCCCTGTTTTTTTCTTCCTAAGATAATGAAAACATTCATAGGCCACCAACACATTATTAGTGATCAAACGCCCCGGAACAAATCCACTCTGCGACTCATGGATGATGAACGGAAGTACTAATTTCAACCTGTTTGCTAGCACCTTCGTAACAATTTTATATAAAACATTACACAAGCTAATAGGCCTATAATCAGCAGGAGACTCACACTTTTTCTTTTTTGGGATTAAAACAATATGAGTCTGATTAATAGAACCTATATCCCCATTATTATTTAAAATATCAAGTACTTTCCCAACTACATCATTCCCAACAATATCCCAAAATTTTTAAAAAATATTACAGACATACCATCGGGCCCAGGGGCCTTAGTCGGGTGCATTTGAAAAAGCGCATCTCGAACCTCGTCCGCACTAAAAGGGGCAGCCAAGCTCGTATAATGTCTCTCATCAACAATAGGCGTCACTTTCTCCATCACTGGCTCGGTTTCAATATTACTACTTCTTGCAAAGAGATCTTCAAAAAAATTCACAAAAGCCTCCGAAATCCGCTCTTCATCATCATAGGAATTACCAGCCGCATCCTTGATGTGGTGAATATTATTTCTCGCCTCTCTTTGTTTTGCCTTTTGATGAAAGAAAGATGTATTTTTATCACCGTGCTTCAACCATTCTTGCCTACCCCGTTGCTTCCAGTACATTTCCTCCCTCTTTTCAAGCTCATCCATACGGTCATCTAATTAAAGCCCTCATTTGAGAAATTACTTCCTCCGATTGATACTCACCCATCAAATGCTTCATCTGAGCTTTACACGCATTTAGTTCCTTCACAAAATCCCCAAATTTCTCCCTACTCCATGCACTTAAACAAGTAGAAGTAAATGCAATTTTCGAACATAAGTCCCCTCCTCGTTCCCAAGCCTCCGAAATAATCTCAGTACAGTTTTCATCACGGAGCCACATTTCTCCAAAACGATACAACTTTTTTTTCTTTTGCTTTGGCACAACTTCTTTAATACACAATAGGATAGGTAAATGATCCGACCTTCTCTTAGTGAGATGAGTAAAAAACGAGCCCATGAACATCTCTCTCTCCAGAGCTGATTTGCAAAAAATCTATCAAGTCTTTCTTGGATATTTTCCTCCCCACCCCTATTATTAGTCCACATATAGCTATGACCAATAAAACCTAAATCCTCAAAATGGTAGTAGCTCATGGCATTGCGCAATATCTCTGCCTCCTCTACACAAAAACTCCTTCCACCAATTTTTTCCCCTGAGTGAAGCATCAAGTTAAAATCCCCTCCAAATAACCATGGCTTGTCATCTGACCCCTTTAAGCTCTCCAAAAGTACACCGGTCTTGTACTTATTTTCATCCTCCGGATGCCCGTACACACTTGTAAACCTCCACTCATCATTCCCTTGAGATCCTACCCCAACATCAATATGATTTAAAGAGAACGACTTCACTGCCACCGTCAACTCATTTTTCCATAACAAAGCCAGACCCCACCTCCGTCTCCTACCCTCCCCTTCACACTCTACAGTAAAACCCGAAGTAAACTTTATTTTTTGTTTTATTTTTTCCATTTCAAAAGCTTTCAACTTAGTTTCCGAAAGAAAAACAATTTGGGGATTTTCTAAGAAAATAATACGTTTTAACGAATTAACTGCAGCAAAACTCCCCAAACCCCTGCAGTTCCACGAGAGGATGTAACTCACCTATCACCGAGAGCCCAAGTAGTGGGGCTCGCCACTTTTTCAGTAGGTACGGACACCAATCTTCTCTTATTCCCTCCCTCATGCTCATTATTAAGAGTTTCAACATTATTTTGATCAGGTTCACACTCTCTCCTTTTTTCTCTAGAAATCAGCACATCACTCTTCATACTATGATCATCATCCCTCTGCATTCTTCTCCACCCTTTTGCCCCCTTTCCACCCCCCTTTTTACTACTATCATCAATTGCCAATTGCCCCTTCTCCAAAGTCCTTGTTTCACCACTAGTAAACAAAAAGACATCACTCTCTGATTTCTTCCCCGAGTCTTCACTATTTGCAAAAAGATTGGCAGAGCTATCAACGCTCAATTCCACCTCCCTTATCTTATTAACCATATCTTGCACCTGGGTAGACACCTCTGAATTTGAGCATTTCTCCTTCGGCTTTGTAATAAACAGGACCTTCGCACACCCCTTTTTGTCTACCCCTTCCGGCTGCACATTAATTCCTACATTATACTTCCAAGGCGAAGCTTTCATCCATGCCCCAAAAGCGATATTCGGATTATCTGTTTCTTTGATCTCATCACAGTCCTTTATCCCATGTCCTATAAGCCCACAACAATAACAGAACAAAGGCAACTTCTCATATTTCACGTCAAAGAATTCTTCAACACCCCCTCTTAATTTCAGTTTCACATGCTTAATTAGAGGTTTTCTCACATCAATTAGAACACGAATTCTGATAAATTAATAAATGCCCACTTGAGCAGCATTATCTAATTTTACAAAAACTCCTACTTTATTACCAATTTTTTCAACATTGGCAATATTTAGGTGACCTTTAAGAGAAAGGTTGTACACTCTAATCCACATTGGCAAATGAAAAAGTTGAGTGTCAGAGGGCTTTACCGAATTAGTAATTTCACCAAGAATAAGGGCATGTCTATCAAAGTGCCATGGTTGTTCATCAATCACCCAATGCTTATCTCATGTTTCATTTGACCTTACAACTCCGAGAGTATAAAAAGATTGACAATATCACCGAAACCCGAACCAACCCGAACCTTGATCACTTTTCTAGCACACCTCGTCCACTTTCATCCTTACCTTCTCCTCTTGCTTCTTGTTTTCCAAGGCAAAAATCTAATCAAAAATAAAATAACAAAAATAAATTAATCAAAAACTAGGGTTCTTCACATTTTTATTTTCCTCTCTCTGCAAATCTCCCAGCACGTCTTTCTTCACTCTTCAGCTTCGATACCCAACCGTAAGCTCCCCTTTCCCTATAATTTCTCACCATTTTCTCTCTCCTCCTTCTTCTTCTTCATTTTGCTGCAAATTTACGCTATTTCTACGTGATTTTGTAGTGTAATTTTTTCTGGGTTTTGTTGCAGATTTTGAGTAGATGGCAAAATCTTCAACTGGTAACAAAAATGGAATCCGAATCGTTGTTGCCGGAGACAAAGCTACTGGTAAATCGAGCTTGATTGTAACAGCTGTTTCCGACACTTTTCCCACCAATGTTCCGTCGGTGTTGCCGCCTTCTCGTCTTCCTGACGATATGTTCCCTGATCGTGTTCCCATCACCATTATTGATACTTCTTCAAGGTACACTAAGCTTTTGTTTTTATGGATTAGAGTTTGAATTTTTTTAATTGCACTGCACTTTACAGTAGCTAATTTTTGTGGGATTTTGTGGGAGATTATTCAATGTTTGATATTTGGTCGATTTTTTATGATTTGTTGCGTGGATTTTGTTTATATTAGCTTTATTTTGTGTGAAATCTTGTTTGATTTATACTCTGATTTCTGGGTGCTATTAAACTGTGGCTTTTATACATTGTTTGAATTGAGCTGTTTTTTTTTGTATTATTCTGATTATCCCCTTATTGCAGCTACCCGAATGTAGTTTTTATTTGGGAAATGCAATTGAATGTGAGTTTATTAGAGTTTTAATTTCTATGAGGTGTTGTGTTTTTATTAGTATCGAGCAGAAAAATAAAGTTGGGGAGGAGATGAGGCGTGCTGATGCTGTTGTGCTAACTTATGCGTGTGATCGTCCAGAGACTCTTGATCGTTTGAGCACATATTGGCTTCCTGAGCTTCGTCGATTGGAGGTGTTGTACACACTTGAGCTACTGTCTATACCACCTTTTTTTTTGCGTGTGTGTGATCACTACTGTGATGGGTTGCTTGCTTTGCTATTATTTACTGTAGCTTCTCTATAGAATTATAGCAACTTATTAACACAATAAATAGCTTTTTGAGGAAAGGATGTACTTTTGGTTTGGATTTGAGGTGAAATATGATGGTCTATCTTGGAATGTAATTCTAAATTGGCATAGTTAACAAGCTCTGTCATGGTCATTAGCTGGACCAAATGTTCTGCTACTTTATGGGTCCTTGCCCTAGATTAACAAAAGGTGTCTCTCCCTTGGATTTCAAGTGTCTGTTGCATAGGGAAAGCGGTCTATCCCGTGGGGTTCAAATTCATTAAGACTCATTATGAATTTTCTAATACCAATTTCAAATAAAATTCAGCATAACACTTAATCTCTCTCTTTCTTGGGAAAAAAAAATCACATTTATGGTGGAAGGGTAAAATGGGAATTAATTGATTAAGGCATAACAATTTTATGAAGGTATTGTTTCGGATGTATAATTATATTTGTGACACTTATAATATTTTTATGTACTCTCTAAGCCCTACATGGGAAGTTGTTCTTGTTCTTGCTTGATATCCTATCATTTATGTATAATTTTCATATGCAGTCATCCTCGGCTTAATTTCTGTGTTGACATGATGGCAGGTGAAAGTCCCTGTTATAGTTGTTGGTTGTAAGTTGGATTTGAGGGATGAGCAGCAGCAAGTCAGCTTGGAGCAGGTGATGTCTCCAATTATGCAGCAATTTCGTGAGATTGAAACTTGCATAGAATGCTCTGCATCCAGACAAATACAGGTATATCCAATTTGTCACCTAAATTTCTGTCGGTCAATCTCTACCTTTCCATCTTCATCTTTATTACTACGAACTTTCCCCTGTATACCTGTTTACAAAAGGGACACTGGCAAAGGTAGAGGCTATGTTCTTTTCATATGAAATAAGTTGACCTAGATTTGACAGTTCTAGAGTTGTTTGATCCACATCTTTGGTGTCTTTTCTGTTTATTATTATTTTTCTCTGATGATCTTTTACAGTATTTCATACACTAGTGTATTAGATTCCACAGTATAATAAATCTTGTTTGATTTGTTTCAATGTGTATATTTGTATTTTAACTATAATATCAACTTTTCATCATTTTTTACGCATAACTAAAAACATTTATGGTGGTTAGTTTGATTTGGTCAGAATTTTTCTTGTCAGTTATGGTTTTGGTCTAGCCTGATGTTATTTGAACAGCTATTATTGATAAGATTTGGGTGGAAAAAACAGAGCCTAAGCTGACATAATATCATATAATCATTTATCGTCTCTTTGTTTTGCTTTCCATTACTTCCTTTTTCTCTGCAATCTAATCTGGGTTTACCGGTGTAAGTGAAACTTTTATGCTATGATGAATATGAGGGTTTTTTTTTTTTTTTCCTCCCTTTAATTCTGACCTGAAGTTCTGGTTCTTTGACTTGTCTTTTTGTGTCACGTCTTGATGGAGAATGTTGAGTAGTTTAAAAATATTGGAGGTTTATGTTTTTATTACATATTGTTGAGTCTCTGTATTGAATTTTAGCGGCCATAAATTGTTGCAGATCCCAGAGGTTTTTTACTATGCCCAAAAAGCTGTTCTTCACCCTACAGCACCATTATTTGACCAAGAGACTCAAACACTGAGGCCTCAATGTGTCAGGGCACTGAAACGCATATTTATTTTGTGTGACCATGACAAGGATGGTGCGCTAAGTGATGCAGAGTTGAATGATTTCCAGGTTTGTGGATACAATGTTTATCGAGTCATAATTTTCTTGACACTTTAATCATTCTTCTGTTTTTTGTAATACATATGCTTCATTTTTCATCAACTATCGAATTTTTGTATGCAAGTGCTTTTTAATGAGGTCTAGGTGTTCTGACTGACTATTATTGCCTGTAAACAGGTCAAGTGCTTCAATGCTCCTCTCCAACCTTCTGAAATTGTAGGTGTTAAGAGGGTAGTAGAAGAAAAATTGTCCGAAGGAGTTAATGAGCGTGGTCTCACTCTGAGAGGATTTCTATTTCTTCATGCACTTTTCATAGAAAAAGGGCGGCTGGAGACAACATGGACTGTCCTGCGGAAGTTTGGATATAATAATGAAATTAGGCTTGATGATGATTTTCTCCCACCTTCATTCAAACGAGTGCCAGACCAGGTCAGCGCACTTTATCTTTATGGTCTAAAATTCAGTGATTTAAAATTGGTATGATGCTAGGAGCAACGTGGTTTAGTTTATAAGGCATTGGATGGATTACGTAGAAGGTGCGTCTGAGTCGCAAAGCGGCATGGGTTATGCACTTATATATATATATATTATCAGGATGAAGTGATTTTGATGAGGCACACACTGTTTTTTCTCACTTAAATTATTGTACCTCGATTGGATGCTGATGCCTACTAGAAGGTTATCCATGTTATTGTATTAGACATGGAAAATATTCATATTTCAGAAGAATTCTACTCTTTTAACATTTTTTTTCGCACTTGTGGTAAGGATGAAGTTGTCTGAGACTCTCAAGTGTTGGGAAGATGATAGCATGAAAAAGTAATTAGGCAAAGCCAAAAGATTAATCAGTGAGACTTTCACAGTTTCACTACCTTTTTTATGCAAGAAAATTTTGAGGGGATTAATAGGGCATACAAGAGTAACGGACCATTTTAGATTGTCTAATTGAATATACATAATTCTTTTTGTTGGTTAGCTTATATAACAATAAATTTGCGCCCCGGGGGGGGGGGGTTGTTGTTAAACTGTATTTTTTAGCTCAATTTTCTATTAAGGATTGATGCTTTTCTAAGTTCTTCACATCAATTTTGAGGTGCTCATTGATGGGTATTTGTTACATATGCAGAGTGTAGAGCTGTCAACAGATGCTGTAGAAGCTTTGAAAGGAATCTTCAGTATGTATGACACCGATAATGTAAGACCATTTATTTCTTCTTTACGGATGGATTAACAACCTGCATTTAAGGCTATATCATAGGTTGTAGGAGTACTTGTTCGTAGATCATGCGGTCATAGACTCATAGTTTATATATGTATAAATAAAATTCCTGTTTGCCTTTTGCACATGTTTTTATGAAGTTGAGTAAATAATTAAAGTATTGGGTTTTGGTTGATTAGAGGTCTAATATAAAAATAAGATAGCGGGGTCTGATTGATTAAAACTGAATAAAAAAGAAAAGAAGATAGTGGAGTTTGGTTAAAGAGAATAAATAAAATTGCTAAAGAAAAAATGAGACTAAACAGAGTAATGGTTGTAACTTTATTTTTTTGAGGTTCATCAGCGTTTCCATTCATCATCATAGTTTGCACTTTAATCACACCTTAGCTGCCTGTTTTTTCTTGTAAAACTCTTTTGTACCTGTCCTTGTCAATCTTCTAATTTTATGCATATCTTTGACTAGTCAGGTGAGTTCTTTCTATTTATACATAGTTTTGAAGTTACAATCACACTTTAGCTTCTGGTTCTAAAACACTTTTGGACTTGTCCTTTTTCTCGATCTCTTTTTGTGCACATCTTTGACTAGTTGGGTCATTTCTAATTATCTTGTATTGTATGATTTTGATACTTTTGGTTTTATGGTAGGATGGTGCTATCCGCCCTCCGGATGTGGATGATCTGTTTTCTACAGCACCAGATTGGTATGACTGACATACAATAATTTTTTTAGCTGTTATATCTTTCTGTAGTGTTTATTAATCTGATTTTTGTCTCTGATAATGTAGTCCTTGGAGTGAAGGTCCATACAAGGATGCTGCACCAACAACTGCATTAGGAGGTTTAACAATGGATGGGTTTCTGTCAGAGGTATGTCTGCCTAATTGCTCCCATGAACTCACCTCCAAGCTACCTTAGGTTGAATAGTTTGTTGACTGGTACAACCATATAAGTTGCTTATTTATGGCATGAATGAAGTAGTCATACCTACTTAATCTTGGTTGAGGCTCTGACCTGATGTCACATGCCTTTTGTTTTGAAGATTCGAACCTTTAAAAAAGAGAGATTTGTTTTAAACTGCTGGTACTAAATTTCGTTTTAGCTTAGTGCACAAATGTAATCAATTGAACTATTTCATCTAAGAAGATTGGCATGTTTCCGGTGATAATAAACTTGAATTGGGCTCTCCCTATTTTTTGATTGCTTCAGCCTTTTTTCAGTGTTGAACCCACTGGAGAAACGTACAGATAAATGGGTAATATTTGTGGGCATTCCTTTGTCTGTCATTTATCATAGATAATGTTCTATTTTTAAAACTTTCTGTTACAGCTCTTGATAATATGGTTTTTGGTTTGGAATGCACTGGCATTCACTATATCTCTGCTTCTTTAGCAGTCTAACCATAGAAAGCTTGGTTTTAGCATTTATGATGCCTAATAGCACATATTATTAATGCAATATGCAGTGGGCTCTTATGACGCTTCTGGAGCCAGCTAAGAGTGTGGAGTATTTGAAGTATATCATGTATGGTGGAGATGCTGCTTCTGCCATTCGTCTTACTAGGAGGCGGCGTATAGATCGCAAGAAGCGGCAATCTGAGAGAAATGTTTACCAATGCTTTGTCTTTGGACCAAGGAAAGCTGGTAAATCAGCATTGTTGGATGCTTTTCTGGGAAGGTATGTCTTGTTGCTTGCGCTTGCATATATGTTACGTTTACAATATTTCGAGGGATTAGTGTGGGTTTATTTATTGTCTGGTTGCTTCTCAGTTGGTTCTGGCATAAACTCTTACGAAGCATATGTTTTTGTTAATGTTACGTGTGATTTAAATTCTCTGTGAAGGTTTGATGGTATAGCAATTATCTCACTCTTTTCCAATTTCAAATGCAGGCCATTCTCTGAGAGTAATGGCGCCAACACTGAAGAGCGATATGCTGTAAATGTTGTAGAAGGGTCCTCGGTGAGTATTACTGTATATATATCCTTTGCATTTGAAGTCTAGTTATGTTCTTATCATACACTATACAGTTACCTTGTTTCTAACTAGCCTCGCCACATAGATTGGGAGTAGGGTAAGAGAGTTCTGATTCAAGCATCATTTCCATATAATGGAAAAATCAGGCTCCTTGGCCTAATTGTTACAGTAGTTGAATTAGATAGTGTTTGTCATCCTTAAATTGTATAGAATGGAGTTCATGTATTGCATAACTCCTTTCTTGTAGTAATGCCTGTAACTTCAGATACATGCATAGTTAAGTGTCACCTTTGTGAAATTGCTTCACTCCAAAATAGAATCTTTGTTGCTACATTTAGTTTCTACTCTACAATTTATAACTTTTTAGGTCAAACTTATAGATCTTGACAATAAATTTTCACCAAAATAAATTCAATAATGTTACAACTTTACTTCTAGTAGCTGCATCTCAGTATATAATTTCGATGTATGAAAGTATTATAAATTTTAATTTTACAATAATAAAGATATTAATGGTCAAATTATTTCATAGGAGATTGTGAAAGTCAGATAGATTATTTTTGGAAAGGGAGTTAATTTTAATTAAGGTGAAGTATTGGGTGGAATAGAGTTCTTTGGTGGAGCTAAAAGACTTTTTTTTAGTCAAGTTGTTTGGAAATCTATTATTGTTTGTTGCTTTGTTTTGTGTAAGCAATGGTTTTTGCATGCCTTTATGGCATGATGTTGCAATGCATTGTACTTTGTCTGTTTAATTTCTGAGCTTGTTTGGATTGCATCATTGGAGGAAGTATTTGTGCTAGAAGTGGTTATATTAATGCTGGTTAAAAAAACATTGAATCCCAATATGTTTAGATTTGCCCATAAATAAAGGAAGGCGCCTTTTCAGAACATTTTTTTTTGAACTTGGATTGGGTAATTTGGCCTTTGATTGCATAACAATAAAAAATAGGTTAAAATAACGATAACATTGTCCCAAAATGATTTGGGGTCTACAGGATTTGTCATGAGGAACATCCGAAAAGGGAAAGGGCATAGCAAATAATCGATTGAATCAAAGTTGGCAAAAATTGTGTAAAGTGAAAAACAGAAAGTATACAAATAAAATTTACGAGTTTTAAGAGTGGGAAGGGATAAAAAGGAGAGGAAAAACATTTGAGTTACCTTTCCAATGGAGTCTATGTAGGTGATAAAAAAAATCCTGACGTTGGAGGCCCAGCCCAAAACAATCCAAAAAATCCGTTAGTTTGGCCCGGTTTGAACTTGCCCAACCTTTTGATCAGATCTACTTTGCAACCATTTGGCATTTTGAGGTTTTAAGGTCCTGGTCATGCTTGATGTCTGTGTATTATCAGGCAGCAGCTGCTGCTGTGTGGTAGGTTTCCTATAATGGATTAGCTTATTATAAAAGCCTTGCTAGTAGTTGATACCCTGTAGAAATTATGTAGGAACAGTTGCTCATCTCTTAGATCTATTTCTCTGATCACACTTGTTTTGACGTTGGTGGTTTTCTATGATTGGTTGAATGTTGAACTCTACAAGGGTATGTGTAAATAGGCAGTTGGAGATGGATGACGAATGAATGGTGCATTGTTAAATTTTAAAGCTGACTGTACTAGAATTTTAGCGCATGAGATTGAAAAGAGAGAGAGAATTTCTAGGGCAAAGCTTCCATTTGTTAGGCTTTGAGGTTCTTTTTAAGAATTTTATATGGCTGGAGGCATGTGCTTCATCATGAGAATCATTTGTCTTGTTTCATTTGTGAACAAGATTATGATTGGTTTAATGATTTGGGCTATATCCCCCACCCCCCCCCCCCCAACACACACATATAATCCTCTACCGTATAGTCTAGTACTTTGATTGAGGAAGGTGAATTTTCCCCCTAGTTTTGTTTTTGTTTGGGAAGAAACTATCAATTAATGACATCAATATAATATATTGTATACAAGTAGTAAAAAGAGGAGTGGTTTTTGAAGTTATTATTTATTTTCTGTTTATTTATCAAATGTATTTGTTTTAGCTATCCTATTTACTAGTATATAAAATGAAAGAAGTATATTCTTTGTAAAAAGTACTATGCTGTAGCTATTACTTCAATGAAAGTAATTCTGTGAATTAATTAGTATTTTAGACTTATAAATTTTCTTTTTTTTTCCTCAATATATAGTTGCTTTAGCTTTTCACTTGTAAGTGAAAGTAAGATAAAATTTTTGCATATAATAGAGTTGATCTTTATCAACTACAGCATTAGTTTGAGAAAACTTCATAAAATTTTTAAATTTGCGCTTGTTATATGATTAATAAATGTTCCTTTGCGTGCGTGATGATTTTGCTTTGGCAATTGGCATCAACTCCTAGTTCCCTTTATGCTTCAGTATGCCTTGTGCTATTTAAAACTTAGGTGAGTGTACTGAGTGACTAGAGCAAGAATTATCACATCAGAATGTACCATGTATTCCTACTTTTTACCGCTATTGATTCCATATATATTCTTCTAGAACTTTTACCAAGGTAACTTCTGTTTTAATGGCCTTATAGTGGTTGGTGGCTTGGTGGGAACTTGTGAATATGAGCTGTTCTAAGGTTTTTTGGGGAGAAGCATACTTGCCAACTGAAAGAAAAATTATGGAAAATTGTAATTTTGATATGGTCTTCTAGTGTCTCTCATTCCACTAGAATTAGTTAAATTAACGTTATTGCTATACATTAAGAACATTGTCTATCCACTTACATTAATGGATAAAGTAATTGTAACTCTATACTCATCTATTAAACTCAATGAACTTGTCATAGTGGTGACAACGAATCTATACCAAATATTTTTTTATGGTTTTTCTTTTGGCTTTGACGTTTGGAACTTGTCCTAGACTGAAAGGATTAATTCTATTGTATGTTCAACGTATTCCTGCAAATTTCTTTGAGGTTATATACTTTGTGTTCTTAGATAGTTTTTTGACAATATTTGGAGATTCAGCTGTTCACATATAGGTTATACCGCTTATATGGAGTCCTAGATATGATGCTCGTATAGTTGCATTTGAGATGATTTTGCAGACGTCAAAGTGTATGATTCTGTTCTGGAAAATTTATCAAGATGAATGGAGGATGATAATGTTGGGAATTGTCTCTGCAAAAACTTGGGTAGTGTTCAATGGTTGAAGTTTTGAGATATTGCCTTTGGACGGAAGAAGATTGCAGAAATATTCAAAATTATCTTATGCTATGTTATTTGAACTGTAAGGATTATTTTGAGATGATTTTGCAGACGTGAAAGTGTATGATTCTGTTTTGGAAAATTAATCAAGATGAATGGAGGATGATAATATTGGGAATTGTCTCTGCAAAAACTTGGGTAGTGTTCAATGGTTGAAGTTTTGAGATATTGCCTTTGGACGGAAGAAGATTGCAGAAATATTCAAAATTATCTTACGCTATGTTATTTGCACTGTAAGGATTGATTCTAATTATTTGTTAGACTCAGGTGCCCAAAAGGGCCAAAAATATGAATTAACTGTTTGTTATTTGTAGTTGTGGTAAATTTTTTTTGGATGGATGTGTTCAAAAATATTTGGCATATAATGGTCAAGTGTAAACCAAATGCTTAGTGACTCCTATTGGTTTGATGAGGAGCATTCAAGCACTTTTGACTGATGTGTAGCGTAGCAAATTTTGTCAACAGGAGAAATTTATGTATGGAGTTTGGCAGAAGTCATAAAAGTCCATGTTAGAACCTATTTAAAATTATGATATACTGACTTTCTATACATTGTTGGAGAGAATGGCTGATGGGCTGGAAGCTTCTGTCTGGTCTGGCTTTATTCTGGGTACCCATTCCTGTTCTGGGGAATTGTTAGATGTTGCATGTAGGCTAGAACAATTTGTAAGTGGATTAGATGACATGCATATGATTTGCTTCTCTAATTTTGGTCCCATCATAGTCAAACTTGAATTGTTGATTTTTTTTTGGGAACCAAGTAAAATGTTCAGTCTTTTCTTTTCGTTAAGGGTTTGTTTGCTGTTTACACTTCCCTCTAATTTTTAATTTCTGAGTCATTCTGAAGTCTGAAATCTACAAGCTACATTAATTCCCGCTTATATTATCACTTGTTACGTTTGCCAGGGAGGTGATATGGGCATGTACACCTTTAGATTCTTTTGACCGATAGATGGTTAGATGACAGTTAAAAAGTTACTTTTAAAGCTATGTAATTAGCTTTTTATAGTCGCCGGGGGGAGGGGGTTTAAGGAGTTGGTTGTCCTTGTTTGATGAACATTGTTTCTTACTCAAAGAAGTGAGTGATTAATATCTCTTGAATGGTCTCCAGTCAACCGTACGCAGAGAGGAGGGGGGGGGGTGAGGTAATAAAGAGGAAAAGGAAGGATAGGAAGAAACAAATACAGCAAATATAAAATAAAGTAAATTGATCTCCAATTTGTGTTATTTTTTTCTTGGCAGGGAAGCAAGAAATTCCTTGTTTTGAGAGAGATACCTGAAGATAAAGTTAAGAGCATACTTTCCTCCAAAGATTCTCTAGCTGCTTGTGATATAGCAATATTTGTCTATGACAGGTAACCATTGGTGTATTTCAAAGGAACGCTATAGCTGCTTTTAACATAGAAGTTACTCATTATTATGTAACCTTTGCTGTGATTTGCTGATGTGGCATTTTATGACAGTTCTGATGAATTATCATGGAAAAAGACAGCTGAATTGCTGGTAGAGGTTGCTGGCCATGCAGAAGACATTGGTTATGAGGTTCCTTCCCTTATTGTAGCCGCTAAAGATGACCTGGATCCATATCCTATGGCTATCCAAGATTCTACTCGGGTAGTTCTCTTTCCTATAAATTGTATAGAATTGTTGATTATTTCATTGATTTCTTAAAGTTTTTGTTTTCTGTACTAATATGGGTTGGGCACTGTGGGAATGTTAATTACTTTGATTTTGCCCTATTTTCTCTTCCGTTCCTTTCTACTATTAACCTTATTTTTTTGGGAAATGATATCCTGGGTTGAATATTAATCTCTTGTTGAGGCAACAGACAGTACAATAGGCTGTGGAAATGATTATTTTCTTTCTCTCCTGTCTATAGGATGCAATATTCTATGTATTTCTGTTTGTATGCTATTTTATCTGCTGGGAAACTAATGGTAAGGTACCAGCTGCAATGGACTGGATGGAAGTAAACATTATGATGGGTTTATGCACTCAAACTATGTGTTTCCTCCATACTTAGCTATTCACATTTGCCTAATTCCTTTCAAACATCATTGATAAATTTCGGGAAATTCTAATGCTTCCTTTTAAGACGACAGAATCCATTAGGGAAACTTAAAAGATCAACAGGTAGATCTGCATCCACTTGAAAAGTTTTGGTAGTTTCTGAACGTTTCAATATTTCCGTCTTTTATTATACTTGCTTTAGGTGGGGGGAGGGCTGGGGACTTGGGGGGTGTGGTGAGAAATGTAGTTTGGCTCAGTCCAGGGCCCTTTCTTGGGTATGTTATGATGGGAGACTGCCATTTTTTTTTTTTTGTGTTTGAATCCTTGATCTTACGTAACGACTTTAGAACCTCTTTATAATGTCAAGCAAGGTTTTCACCCGTATTTTTACTTAGTATTTGCAATAGTAACCTTAATTTTAGTAAAGTGGACATAGCATATTAGTATGAAACTATGAAACAAGCTGCTTGCATTGGCGCTACCTGCAAAACCTTCTAAAAATTTTGTTTAGGTTTCAAAAAACCTTCTAAAAACACTGGCTTACAAACTTGTACAATATCTGAAAAGCAGATTTTTTTTTTAATCGACTTTTAATCGGGATTTTGGAATTATTTTTATTTATTCATTTATTTTTTATTTACTTCACAGGTTAGCCAAGATATGGGTGTTGAAGCCCCAGTGCCTATTAGTGCTAAATTGGGGGACTTCAATAATATATTCCGTAGAATTGTGAGCTCAGCAGAGCGTCCTCATTTGAGCATCCCTGAGACTGAAGTTGGAAGAAGCCGAAAGCAATACCATCGTCTCATCAAGAACTCTGCTATATCAGTTGGAGCCCTCGGAGGTACTTTTAATAGCCTTGATTTTTAGTAGGATATTAGTACGATTTTTCTACATCACCCATGTGACTCTTAGGCTTTCATAGTAAAGGAAGGGAAGAGAAATGAAAGAAATCATATTTTACAATGTTTGGTTTGATGGAAAGGTTGTGAAAGAAATCTAAAAATTTTAATTTGACAGACTTTATCTTTTCTCATTCCTTTTTTGGGAGGAAAGGAGAGTGAAAATTTTGTAGAGGGAGCTTTCCTTCTAATTCCTCATAATTTTTGGAATCAAACAATGGAACCAATAAATTTCTGTTCCTTTCTTTTCCAACCAAATAGGCTGTTAGTGTTCAGCCAGAATGCCAAAAAAAGAGAAGGATAAAACTTCTTGAGTGCCTCTTGTGCTCTCCACTTTTCCTATATGTATTAGTGGTGATGGTATCCCCTTTTTTCTATTTCTTGTAGTTTTTTACACATTCTATTTCTTGTAGTTACATGTCTAGTACAGTACTTCTTTTTCAAGGTTTCTACTTTCACTACCTTGGCAAAACATATAAAAAGGAAGGGGACTTCTTTGTTATGGATATAATTATTTATAGCATGAAAAAGGAGTTTTTATTATGATGTATTTCTACTCTATAGGATAAAACATAATCATGTGGGTCTGTGGGATCTTGTTTGATTTGTCTTGATGTGTAGTTTCCAATATCAACCGTAAGTATTTTGTTACATTACGTAAGTAACGATATTGAGGCTCAAAAATGCATTGAAGTTTGTGCAAAAAGGTAAATGGAACCATCTTTGAGTAATGTAGGTAGAAGTCAAAGTCATAGATTGAAAAATTATTTCTTGACTTCCTCCAACCAGACAAGCTTGTATGCTATCTTCTTAGAATCTCCAAATTTGAGGCATTTTAAATGTTTCTAGAGCTTGAGATGAGCAATGTTATGATTTTCCTCTGGTTCACTGTGTCCTGAATGTATGTATATCAGCTCAATGAATTTACTCTCTACTCAGCCCTAGTGCCTTTACTAAAGCTGTATTTAGTATGATGGGTGTTTAATTGACAGGGCTAAGCTTAAATGTTTTTACTGTGTATCTCAATTGTGTGCATGTTGCATTTGTTTTCCCTCCATCTCTTTTACTGAACATGGTTATGTGATTTTTACTTCTACAGTTGGAGTAGGTGTTGTTTTTGCCGGATTGGCGGTTTATCGTGCCTATGCAGCAAGGAGAAACAGCTCCAACTGAGAAGATGAGATATTTCTATCTCCTCGGCTACCATTTTTGGGGCCTAGTAATGGGTGCTCTATACCAGACGTTTATAGACCCACACCCATTGTTCTATTGTAGCTCTTTTTAAAATCTTTGGTAGGGCTTCAGGTTTTGATTTCTTGGATGCAGGGTTTTCTGGTAGTGTATAGTGATTTAATTTTAGTGTTATTGTGCACAATCTGTGCAATAAAAATTTTGCCAGAATACTAGTAATATATCTTTATATTGTTTGCACTGTCCAGTAGCAGTGTTGTGTTTTCGTAGCAATTTAGATTTTGTAATCCTTGAATGCAATGCAAACCATTTGAAAATAAAATTGAACTTTCAGGGGCATCTTCAACGATAGGGTAGTTTTAACGCTTACTGCAGCAAGTTACCTTATCTGATGAGTTACGTTAACTTGACCTAAACTGTACTTGAACTATATCTTATAAAAAATTGGCCTGATCTTTGTTTGATGGAAAAGCAATCAGCAAGATGATATGATCTGAATGTAATAGTCTCAAACTAAATTTGATGTAAGAATCTGTTGGTCATTTTCAAATTTTCTTGTTATCATATTACATTCTTTGATTTGTATCTGGTATTTTGCTTTTGTAGCTTTGAGAGTCGTTTAGCTGTTATCATTTTTGCGAATTCAATTGGGATAATATGAACTTATGAAGAGGATTATTAACAAATATTACTCAGCTGCCATATCTTTGGCACCAAGTATATACCATTAACAGCCTTTTGGCGAATGTGAAAGACTTGTCTTAAATTTTGAATTTCGGTATGAAGATATAGATAACTGTCTGTCTGTGTGTGTGTGTGGATAAAGAACTTCAAGCATCCCATATCTTTAAGACGCTGAATGTGTGGAAGTGGCTAAACTATATGGCTCCACAGGTATACCCTGTGAACTTTGGAGTGCATTTAGACTCGTCTTTCTTCAACCAGCTACCTTTTAGGCCACAGGTTTGCATTGCTCGTTCATTGTGGCAGCTCCTCCTCTCATTTCCCGAGCCTGCTGCCTTCTCCAACTGTAGACAATACTGATCAAACGTCTCTACTGTGACATGAAGCTTGTAGTCGAGACTGCATAGCAGCTTCAATTCTAGCTTGTTCATTTCTGATATGCTTACGCCTCCAACTTTGGCAAAATGTGCGTTGTTGTAAGTCCTGCATATTGTTAAAGCATTAGTATCAAGATGTCCCATTGTTGTTTGTTCTTGATGACACATTCATGCACATAATAGCAGCTCGAATAAACAATTATCTTTGCCTAATACTTCAATAGTATAGTTACGATTTATCATTACATTTTTTCACTAAAATACTTCAGGGAAATGGAATAAATCACAGAACTATTAAAAAAGGGGCTTCTTTCATAACATCATGCTTTAATTTATTTTCGAACAGAGGGAGTCAAAGATTAACAGTACATTATCAGTACTTTCGAGTTTTGACTAATCTGATAAATTATGCACTTAACAAAGATGATTAACCTTCATAATCTCAGTAGTATATACAATCATCCAAGTTGGCAAAGATTAACAGGTACTTTATCCATCTTAGGTGATAGGGCCAACTAGGCCAGTGTGTATAAGGTGACAAATCCGACTTCGGACTCTTAAACAACGACATACAGTGATACAGATACGGATTGGTTTAGTTTCGCAGTTTTGTGACTGTTATTTTCCTTTCAGTGTCATTATTAATACTTGTGTTTGTGCCCACATTCTTGCAATCTAGTGGTGGTGTATGTGGATGAGGAGAAACCAGTCAAATCTCCCTGTCTGGTTGCTTTCGAGTCTACTGAACTCGGGTCTGATTTAGGTCAGTTTTCGGGTTTCTTTTGGATATTTGGGTTGAACATCTAAAAGTACCACAAATCTAACAGAAAGATCAAGACACAAAACTAATTTTGTAAGGAAAGTGATTCAAATCTAATGTTTTTAACACTCAAATTTGCTTAAAAAACAGCTTTATCTCTTAAGAATGTACTATTGCATAAACAGAAATATAAACAGAAAGACATAATCTAAAAATTCATGTCATAATAGTTAAGACAATCATAAATCCATGTTATAGTAGTAAGTTTACTTACACGTCTTCAATAAACTTGGCAGCCAAAAGAACCGAAGCAATGAGAAGGCGATGAGCATTGAGCGAGGTAAGGTAACAATTTGTGGATTGAATGAACTTATCCATGTAAATGTATGCTACAACAAAGCAAGAAGGGCTACACTTGGAGTACTTGAACACGCGGTCCATGTACTGCCTGATGTTCAATGTAGGAGCTTTCGAACCATGAAAGATTGTCACACCATCTTTAGTTTTCGACTTCTTGAATAACTTGTCATTTTTGTGAATGTTTCTTTCAAGAACAGATGCTATGAGTGACACAATTTGAGGTGGTTTTTCTGATGCATCTTCAAGTAGAGGTGGTTTATCTAATAATCCTAGAGTTTTATATAGCTCTGAATTTCTACTCTTGGTGTTGAAAGTTCCCATAAAAACAAAATAATTAAGCAATGTTTAAGACACCGAAAATTGGATTAATTTTTTTGATGCTTGAAGTGATTCAAAAGGCTTACCATTTTGAGGTTGGGGTATAAAGGCATGTCATAGATTTGGTTCTCTAGTTCAAAAATTGAAAATTCCATCTTATCTCTCTTTTTTATTTTATTTTTCTTTATTTATTTATTTAATTTATATTATAAATTCTTTTTATATTTTTAAAATTTTGTTTTAACTTTATGCTTTCCTTAAAGATAAAAGGGGAATATCATGGTATAATGACAAATGATTATTCCTCCTCCTTTGGACCTTTCTTGGTGATGACTAACTCTAGAAAATGCTTTTGGAATTTTTTTTATTTTGCTCATGGAATGAAATAGAGAAGGCCGAAAAAGCATAAGAAAAAGGTATTTCTTGATACAAGTGAAAAATGATTGTGCCATTGATTTTGTTGTTGATATTTCTTTTCAAAGAAATTACTTGTCTTCATCACTTAATACTCCCTCTATCTCGTTAAAATTACTCCATTTAACCTCAATAATTTTCACTAGACATAATAAGTAATTTAATGGACAATTATAGTGAGACGGAGGGAGTAGATCAAAGACTTTGATTTCCTTGCCTAAAATAAGTTAATAAGTTTCATTAATAATAAGGGTGATTTAATTTCAATATAAATTAAAAACAAATTTTCAACAAAAAAGAAAGAATAAAGAAAGTACGTGGAAGAAAAAAATAAAATTAGTTCAATAAAAGTAGTAAAATCTATATTATATAAACCAAGCCGGTGAGGTAATTAAAATTACAGAGTACCAAATGTACTTAGCAAACGTGAAAGAACGGATGAAGTATAATATCGAAATAGATATTTTTACATATACATCTGTTGTTTGGACAGGTTTAATGAAAAGTTGAAGGGATTAAAAAAAATGCTTATTAAATATGTTCTAACTTGTATTAGTTCAAAAAAAAAAAAAAAATCACAAATAAAATAGGTTAAAAATAGGTGGGATTTACTCACGAGTCGAACAATATATTTGATAATATAAGATGAATTCAAATAAGATTAGATAAGTTAAAAGATCAAACAAGAAAAAGAAAATTAAACTGAGCCTTGTCCTCCAGTTAGATTATGGAGGCATGCTCCCAACATACAATCGTTTTTCTCCAATTTGCCTTTCTAATTTAGGATATTGAAGATTTGAAATGAGTGAAGTAGATACCTTTCTAACTTTGCTATGTGTAGATTACACTTTGCAGTGTCACTCTTACAACCTTGGTGGCCTTATGCATTTACAACGTATGATCCCTACATTACTGAGGCACCTTAATGCATTATACAGACAGATACCGAGCAATAGAATTAGAGAAACAAGTATTAATATGCTCCAATTTTCTTACAAAATGACAAGATAGGCGCCAATAAAATACAAAAATTTGTCACATAAATAACCCTAGTAAATGTAGAGTAAAAAAAATATGATCAGAATATACATGGGGAGTCAAGCCACCAGTTGCTAACTCACAGCCCTGCCATCACTATATCTTTAACTACACTGCTAAAAGGTATGCAAAAAATTTATACCTTCTACGAAAACCTCGTTCTAGTTTTTTTTTGTATCTTTAAACTTCAAGATGTTAATTGTCTGATGATCAGTTCAATAGGGTTCAGCTAAACCTAATGGAATAATCAAGAATCAAATAAATTATAATGATATACAAAAGAGGTAAATCGGTCACCTTTCCTTGGTGCGATAAGTCTGCAACACTGCGTTCAAAACAAGGCAGCAACTGAGAACCATACATTACGGAGTATATTGTCATGAAATCCCCACCAATTCATTTGAAATTCTACAGTCGCTTTCGTTTTCTGTGACTCTGTTGTGCAGCAGCATTATTGTTATCATTATCAGAGGTGGGTAGAAGAGCTGAAGTTGCTGATGGTTTTGAAGCAGAAGTTCTGGTTTTTCTGGAAACCCATTTCAAGGGAAGACTATTCACAACAGTGCCAATATCGCTTGCACTAGTAAGTTTAACAAGACTTTGTATTTGATTTAGCATTTGTTGTGTCAATGCCATCGCCTTGTCCAGTTCGATTGAATCATCCATGGGCTTTCTCAATAAAGTTGTTAATAAGTCTTTGAATGAATGGAAGGACATGGAATGCAAACCCTGGTGAATTTCGCACATCATATTGACCTTGATAACATGTTTGCAAAGGTTACCTTGCAAAGCCCAGGCACAATCACAGAAAGCAAATTCTGATCCAGGATTCCAGACTATGTGAGACACATTATTGTCCTTTTGACTTTGCACCTTGGCAAAAGAGTCGTCATTATCATGAAAGCAAACAGCGGTGTCAGGGATTTGCAATGCACGTTGCCATGACGTTGAAGCTATGTACGCTTCCTTCACATCTTTGAAAGTGTCATGTTCATCAGAGTAGCGGTCCAACCAGTAACTAGAGTGCAGCTCAGCGGTCAATTTGTGTACTAACCAATCAACTCTCTGAAATGCACCTAGGTGTGAATCATCATAAAGTTTGCTTTTCAATTTGATATGATAGGCTTCAATAGCACCAGCAGCTTCCTGGCTTGCAAGTGGGACACTCTGCATTACAGAGAGCCACATCTCTAACAAAAGCAAGAAATCTAGGGTAAGCTCAAGAAAGAATATACAAATTATTTACGATTGGGAGTGAAGTAGAATCAAGTCAAACCTAGCTTCGGCAACCAGCAATCTTTAAAATACAGCATGAATGCATTTTGATTAGTGAAATCTTGCATGAACTTCTCAATAGCAACTGCCGAATCCAGTCCCTTCCAAATGCTGCTAACGATATCACCAAGACGTTTGAAAATCTCCCTTCTAACTTCTGTTCCACTGCATTTTTTCACTATATTTCTAAGCCATGCTCTGCGGACACGCCAAGGAGAAAACATCACGGGACAGCAGAATATATCCCTGCAACAGGAGTAAACAGTAGGTTCAGTAAACAGTATATATAGGTTTCCTAAACAAATGTATAGTATGAGTAGCCTGCCTTATAGGCTCCAATTCTGCCGCCGCATCATCTATCACAAAACCACTGACCTTCCATCCAGTATCAACTGCACGTATTCGACCAACTACAGCTTTCATCCACTTTGAAATATCTGGCTTAGCAAAGCTTGGAGTGATGATCCATGCCACAGGGAGTGCATGCTGTCTTGAATCAAACACAAGAAGCGTGCACAAAGGGTACTGGATGTAAGAAATAGCATAGATAAGTACCATGGAAATAGCATTTCCAGTGATTACTCTATGGAAGCAGGGCTTAGATACACAAAAAAGACAATAAATGGGGTTCTGGAAAAATAGTTTCAACAATAGCATATATTATCTTACTCTAAGTTTCTTTAACCCGAAGGTCGAGTCTGCTGCAATGATGCTGTGACGGCCAAAGCGTATCATCTGTTGCAGTTGCCACTCTGTTTGAATCCCCAAAATAAATGGATCAACCTCAGATGAATCCTGATAAAAGAATACAGACTTTTTATTTCGCTCAACCCACAGCCGGACACTAGCTTGGTCATTTAGGTCTAATTCATGAGTAGATCTTTTAATAACCATTCCCAGTTTTTGAACATATTGAGATGCTATCCTGCCAAGTTTTGCATCAGCATCACAGTAACGTTGAATCCCTTCAAGGTGTTTCTGCACTACATTCTCTTCTGGGATTCCAAGGTAAATCATCGACATAGTTTGTTGCTGAATCTCATTGCCAATATATGGAACTTTCTTAGCACCAGGGCCTATGGCATCTCTATCAAGAGCACCATGGCAGGGAAAACCAGATTTGTTCACATGACGTCGCTCATTGTAAATGATAAGTGCAAGTGTCGGGCATGCATACAAACGCTTTACTGCAAAGTGACATGTACAACCTCTCATAGACTGTGGTCTGGCAGCACGATTTCGGGTATTCAGGCGATACCGCCGACTAGGTAATATATCACCACCCTCTCCATAATCTTCAGGTCCAAACGAGCACCAATACCTGAAATTCAAGAGGCAGAATTACACATCAGAGTAAATTATTCATCACTTTTAAAGTCTTTTAAACATACATAAGTGTTCTTACAGCTTATATTCCAAATATTCATCACTTTTGTACTCTTTTAAGCTTCCTCTCCTACGTTTCCTTCCTCTCTCAATATGAAATTGAGTAGGGAACTCCACATTAGAACATTCCCCGAAAATAAAGTCTTCAACTCGATCATAACGAATTTTAGCTACCTCGTCATGGTGCTCAGCAGTGCCAAACTTGGTCCACTTCAGATCAGCAGATGAAAACACCCCTTCTGGTGGATCTTGCACTGATATATCTTCAACAGATTCAATAATTTCCATTTGATATTAGCTACCAGAAAAAATCAGGAACTTGTTGAATAAGATCAATGCTTAACACCGTCTTCTGCAATGTTCATCAGGAAATCTGTTACGCAAACAGCTTTATTCTTTTGTAAAATAAACATAGAGGAACATAGAGATTATATACGGGAGAGATAGTATCATAATCCCTTTATCACGCTAGAAAGTAAAGCCTCCAATGGGGAAATTTATATAGTTTCCAGTAGGAATATAAAATACCAATATAGCACAATGGAGGGATAATTTAAGACAATCATAGAACACAATCCTCAAAGAAAAAGCTGATTTAAACTCCCAATATTCAACTGGATGTTATCAAACATAAGCCATTAGCTATTCTAGAAAACTTAATTTATGACAAAAGGTCAAAATCTACATGTACACAATCAAACTCAAATCAGTCCCATTTCATGCGTTCCTCAATGATATCCTAGGGCACGAAGATCTCCAAGTAAATTTGATTGGCAGTAGCCCTGTAACACAAAAGGTTCAAATAAACACCAATGTACGATACGGTGCCAAACAAACATGCCCAGCTGTGCGCCAAGCACAACTCAGCCAAATTTGATTCAATTAAAGGGTGGTGCAATACATTAGCAACCAAGTTAGATTCAATTATCACATAATTTAAGGAATATGTGATTCAATTATCAAATTTCTAGCAACATAGTAGCTGGTTATGATCTTTCATAACCAAATTTGATTCAATTAAAGGGTTGTGCAATACATTTCATGCATTCCTCAACAATATCCAAACCTCCTAGGGCACAAAAATCTCCAAGTACTTTTGATTGGCAACAGCCTTTAATTTATTGAGGGTCACATCTCTACACTTTTCTAGGAAGCTTAACCTGGTTAAAAGGTTCAAGTAATCACCAACGTACGATACGATACCAAACAAACATGCCCGACTGCGCGCCAAGCTCATCTCAGCCAAGCTATT